GAAATGCAGTGCCACGTCTCCAAGGAAAAGCATGGCATGATTTCAATGCCTCCTCTGGCTTAAAGATTGCTGGTTTAATAAGGGACGTTGGCCCTTCTTCCATGATGAACTGACTCTTTTTGCGGTTTATCACACAAATCGTGATTGCGAGGCTCACATTTAAATTTTACTACTAGGAAGGAAATAACACTTACAGTTCTTCAGTATGGAAAAATTTTTCCGATTTTATTCTCAATTTATGGGTTGGTTTTAAAGGCCGACATAGTCTCAGTAATTCGACGAATGCAGAGCCTTTCAAACCTTAGTCAGCCGCATCCAAGACTATGGGGGATAACTAACTGGAAACCTAAAATTCCTTTTTAAATGTGAGGAAATAACGATTGCTGAAGAGGTGGTGGTTGGGACTGTTGGATTTGCATGTGTCAGCCTTGAATGCGGTCGCGTTAGTTCGTCGTGTGGGGGTGTTAGCAATTCACAGGGAAGGGCCGGTACAAGAGCAGAGGCTGGTGTAATTTTACATGATGCACGAATATCCTCGGTGGTCCAATCAGCCGACTAATTTGAGGCATAACAACTCCTTTCAGAACCATCCGAGTGGTCCATCTTCGGGGTACCTTTTGTGCGTAAATCAATGGAGGTTATAATGGAGTAGTCTTTTGTCAATGACTGCATTCTGACAGCTGACAATTCAGTTCAAGCAATGAACCAACGAGATGGAGTTGGTGTATCACTTCATCAAGGATGAAATTGTCAATTACTTCGGTTAGTGCTGTATTTAACGGTCGATATGGTCTCTGTGACCTGTTGCTTCCTCGGTTCTCCGCTTTTATCGGCTATTTTGAAGGTCTACCACCCTTCAAAATATTGTCTTCTTGTCATGGAAGTGCAGGTGAAACTGTTGATTAATTAGTCGAAAATATGTGTCGAAGGTGCTGACAAATAAATCGGTGCGATTAGCTGTCAGTGGTTAATTGAAGTACATGAGCCTCAGGAGAAAATCGGCAAGCACAGGCGTTTTCGTCACACGGAAACTAGAGTAATTTTTCCCAAAGTCAAGAGTTGCTCACCCGCTTTTTTGTTTCAAACTAAACCAATCTGTTACATATGTGTGATGCAGGCAGTGAGCGTGTTTGGTATCTAAGTGGTTACATTTCATTGTTCAGATGTTGGTGACGACGCCGGAGAAGTGGGACGTGATTTCGCGGAAGGGAGCGGGGGATGCATCACTAGTGCAGGCTCTGCAGCTTCTCATCATCGACGAGGTGCACCTGCTGCATGAGGAGCGTGGGGCGGTGATTGAAGCGCTGGTGGCGCGCACCCTCCGCCAAGTGGAGGCCTCGCAGCGCCTTATCCGCATCGTTGGACTCTCCGCCACCTTGCCCAACTACCTCGACGTCGCTGCCTTCCTCCGTGTCAATCCGTGTCGTGGCCTCTTCTACTTCGACTCCCGTTTTCGTCCTGTGCCCCTTGATATGGCCTTTGTTGGCGTGCACGCCCCTATCTCCGGCAGTGCTACCGATCTCCTCATGAATCAGGTCTGCTACGAGCGCATTATTGAACAGCTGCGTCAGGACCAGCAGGTTTGTTTTCTTGTATATGATGAACGTATTGCATTACTCATTTAATGATTGGTTTTGTACCTCTTATGATTCCATTGTTTCTGCTGTAGCTTATTAATTGCTTCCAAAGGGGTCATTTAGCATGCATGCGTCACTTAAATTCTATTGGGGTTCCAACCGAATAGTCGATGGATAGAGACTCTACAGCAGATATGTTTATTACCGACGTAATGTTTAGCATGATCGGTGCGTCTGTGTCTGGCTGCTGGCTAGTAGAGCCTGTCTGAGGGCGAATTTGTTTGTGTCACCGACTTCAGTTGCGCGTATCTGCGGCATCTGATTGGCTTTACCTCTGAAGTGGTTATCAATGGACTAGAATGGTCGGAGAATTGTCACCGCTTGGAACCTACTGGGAGTCGAACAGGAGCATTTTTCTGTGGGAAACCGGAAAATTTAATCTTGTGCTCAAGAACAAGTTCGTGGTCGTAGCATGTCTGCAAACGACTTTGGATACATTGTTCTTCCACAGCTTTATCCGGGCAACGCCTCGGAAATACTTATTGAACTTGTTCACGATATCGGGTGGTAGATTATTCCCCTTTATATTAGTAACTTTTTTCAATCCCCCAACTCGTTTAAAATCATTTACGCCTTCTCTTTCATCCTTTTACCTTTCATTGAATTCCCAGACTTCTTTGGAGGAGTTGTTGATCAGCGCTCACGAAACTTCACAGCAGTCATTGTTCCAAGGAAAGTCTCCTGTTCTTATTTTAATGCGGAGTCTTAAATGGCTGCGCTAAAAACGGTGGCGTTGTAGTTTTTTTATGAGGTCTCAAACGAAATAACGGTAAGCACTCTTGCAGCGCATGGCTGCGTGCTGATCATGCGACTTTGCCTGGCCTCCGTTTGTTCGTCTTATGTGTTGGCCATGTTTCATACTACCGCGTGGATGGCTACATGACTTTAGAGGGACTTGTACATGCGGGTAGATGGGTGGGTGGGTGCATATTTCTTATTTGCCTTGTTCTTTGGTAATGTTCTTCTTGTGGTTGATTTATAAGAACAATACTGTTATTTACGTGGAATTAATCATCATTTATTCTGCAATCGAGCACCTGTTTGTAGGTGCCAGGTTCCATCCACGGCATAATTGTTTTACTTGACCCTCACAATTAGTCGAAGAAACCCGAAGCAGTATATGTAAAGTGTTATAACATTGTGCAGCCAGTAGCAAAGTGGTGTCATCACTGATTCAATACTACTTAAATGAAATTGGACGTGTCATACTTGATGAGCTGCTAGAGTTTTTTTATTTTTTTTTTGTCCGTCTACGCAGGTGATGATTTTTGTGCACGCTCGGGGTGAGACGATGCGCACAGCGCGGTGGCTGTTGGATAGGGCCAGCCAGTCCGGTGACTTGAAGTACTTCGAGCCCCCATTACCTCACAGAACACCCGAGTTCATCAAACGGGTAAGCTGGTTGGTACTTTATTTGCACTTAGCGGTGGCCTGTGGTCCTTTTTTAATGGAGTGAGAATTAGTGAAAAAATCTGAAAGCCTTTTGTTACTTGCCGTTTGAGATTGTGGAAACTGTCTAGAATTAGAATGCAGGCCTCGGCACCATGAATTAGTTTGGAATTCTCAATGTACGCTGTTGGAGTTTCCTGAAGTGGCTTTGAATCTTTAGATTACGGTCAGGGTTAACATTACATGCAGTATCTTTTGCAATTGCTAGGATTAATAATTGGAAGCACAAACTGATGTTCGCCTTCGAGTAATCTTGAGCTACCAGATTTGACTGAATGTTGCGCAATAGGCTGCAATTCCTTCGTATCTGTTGGTGGGCCTTTACCGACTAACTTAAAGTTGTTGCTGTTTCTTTGTTTAGAATTTATTGGATGTTGGAAACCCAACTGACCATGGAATGCCTCAAAAAGGCATGGGCTAAATTTAAAGCACTTTTTCTTACCTATTGAACCGTTGTGAAGCCATGAATTTTTTCTCCTATTTGGAACACTTTTTTAGGCTGGACTCATCCGACCTAATTGAATAGAGGCTGCTTCATAACTTGGAACCTAGAGTCTACTATATCCACCAAACTAACTTGACTGAGTGGTCTAGAATTTGCTGTATTTTCTAACACAACTCTCGGTGTCTACTGTTGCTGTAACTTAGTCCAGAAGGAAGTTAACCAGCCCAGAATGCTTAGTATCGGGTCAGTAGCTTTGATCGCTAAAAGTGCGTGGGAAAATTTGAAATTCTTAGCTTCTTTTACTTGGACGCCTCGAAACATTCCATGCTTTTAGTGCTCTGATTTAATTCTGCGAATTAGCTTGGTGCTGTGTGTATTTGCAAATAGCAAGGTAACCAAATGACGTCGTAGAGTCTCCTAGTAGCAGATAAATTTGACCATCTTCTCCTCCATTTCTATCTCAGTAGTTGCTTCTCCTAACTAACTAC